CCACAAAACAAGTTTCACTGGTTAAAGCAATAACATTGTGTCGATGCTGGAGAAAAACAGTAGAAGGGTCCCGTATTGCCCCGCACTGTGATTCCCCATATGCAGAAGTATTAAAAGGATATTCTAAGAATATGAAGCGTTCAATGTTCAGCGTTCAGCGTTCAGGAGCTGACCTGTTCAGGAGCGTCTGCAGAGAAGTTTCAGCCTTAATCTCTCTCTTGCTCTTCTTGCCTCTCGCTTCGACGCTCTCCTCTCGCCGCCCGTCAAGAGAAGAATGCAATCGGCGGCGTTTGAGGGAGAACCTAAAGTATTCACACACGCCCTCTCTCTCTCTCATACATACGCACAGAGAGCCGATAGTCACACACACTTTTTATTTAGCTCTTTCTATTTAGCCTCATTTAGCACACACTTAAAAAAAAAAACCCAGCCCACATGACTCACATTGGAACATACCAGACCCATTAATATTTACTTATTAATAGTACCATGGGCATCCCCCATGCATTCTTTGCAATGGAGCGCCTGCTCCATTTGACACCACAAAACAAGTCGGTTGTGATTGTCCTCCAAAACAGCCCCATGTTACAGCTCTAGGGTTAGGTTAAAGTACTTCTCGGTATGGGATGTTTCTTCTTGGCATGGTATTTATAGTCTCTGCATTCCTTTTTGAGCTAAAATAAATTTGTAGAATGTAGATGAACATGTTCTCAAACAAAGCCATTGTAAGGCCGTGCTCTATTACGAGAAGCAGAGTATACTTGCTTCCGCCTACCTTGCTTGAGAAAAGTCAGAAAATGTCACGTACAGAAAATGATGAAAATCATACAATACAGGAAACAGACATATTGTGCTTACATCTGAAAATGACAGTAGAACTAGCCATGGGTAACTCACAGACCTGCAATGGTGGAAAAATAACAACTGCACTGTTTCTGTCACATACCTGATTCTTTAATATAGTCAACTGTACTGGCTAGTACTATAATAGTACTACAATCACTATGTCATATATACAGCCCTGTTTCATATGTTTCATGCAAAATTTTCATATATTTCACATTAATTACAAACAATACAGTTCTTCCAACCACACGCTCTACAGTTTACATTTTTGTGGAGGTGATGTGAACAATGTACACAATCTTAAATACACACACATATATATAAAAAACATACATAAGCAGAAGTAGATGGGCAAAGATTAAAAAAATAATCTCGGTCCAGTCTTTCTTTAGGATAAACACTGGCATTCCATTAATGAAGCACATGCTTCACGGCAACTTTATTTAGGTATACCGTCATTCTTCATGGCAAATATTCAGCGAGTTACTGGATATGTCGCTAAAAGATTTTATCCACACTGATCACATCACCTAATGAAATGTCCCCTGAGTTTATATTTGGGCTACCCTTTTAATTTGCAGTAGTGAATGTGTCACAAATTCCTTTTACTCATTAAAGGTAAGGAAGAATATGAAAGAAACAAAACAGAATATTACCAGAAAGTTCTGCTTGGACACTTTAAGTAGGTGTTTGCATATTCTGTTGACAAAGAGCAATATTAACAATCACTTTTGTTTCTAACCACCTCTCTGTGGGGCTGACATTTATAGTGACCACTGTAACACTGCACACAATCATGGCAGCTCTTATTTATTTAAAATACTGATTAGTGCAGATTTAATGTTGGAAAAAGATCCTGGTTTCAGAACTTATCACCACCCACATGGTAATAGTAGTTGGTTTAGGCCAAGATTCATCCTCACCCAGCATATATACATCTTACAATATCAAACCTGACTTCTAGTGGTTTAACTTCTTACCTTGTTACAGTTATGTAGAAATGTCATGGTGTAAATCTTTAATCTGAGAGGACTTCAAAGCATTGCTGTTTTTTATATGGCCGCTAACCAAAACATACTCTAAGTGTTAGAGCAGAACCATGCTGTTACTTATTTAATATGTACAGGCTGTATGTTTTTTGAACTCTGAAAGTAAACACAGAAAATAGGAGGTTTGTTTTTATGCCAAAGAACAAAAAGGGCATTTTAATAGAAACCTTTATGGGAAAATGGACTGTTTTGTTACAGCTAAATATGATTCATTGTTTTCCTATTGCAATAAACAATGACTCATTACACCCGGTTTTGCTTAACAGCAGAGGCACATCTTTTTTGGGTGAAACACTGGATAGAAATGTTTTTATTCTTCGCTCACTTCGTATGCACACCCGTGACCAACAGCAGACATAGGCAGATCTAAGAGTGAAGACAGCTGGAATCTATTCAGTCACATGCCTTTCTTTTGACCATGCCTAACGTTAAAGAGTCAAAATATGATGAATGGTGTCTGTTTATATTTAAGCAGCCATCAGGCAGCCAGTCCCAGTTCAGAGAGAACAGAATATCCTACATCCACAACTGCGTCATCTGCCCAGACTGTTTCAAAAGCGTCGAGAGATTTCCTGTTGTTGTGACACAGAATGAAACGTCTTCCTTGGAAAAAAAAAAATGCAATTAATACTGCCTCTGTTCAGAAGGGAAACAAACAAAAGCGACAGACAAAAAGTATCTTAAAATAATATTTATTTTTCCATGTAAGAGCACGAACACTTGCTTCATAAATAATCTATCATGGCAAGCATTTATGTAATGATTAACAGTAAAAAACTAAACAAAACACTAACACAACACAAACAAAACCAAAAAACACACACAAGGTTCGTCTAAAAATTACACAGGAGAAAAATAATCTATACATATTATTTGATTGACTGATTGATTGATTAGAGTCTATACGTCTATACACAGAGCACCATATAATATGCAGACCATTACCTATATGGATGCGCACATACTGGAAGGATAGTATACTTTTACAGATAATGTGAAATTAAATTAATCTAATGCACTTAAAGGTTTAAAAAAAATTGCATATAATATTGATCAGAAAAGTGAAGCTTATCACAGTGACTTCTATTACATACAAAGTCTTATAGCCATATAATATATGGCTATAAGCTATATAACAGATAGCTGTGCATATGCATACACATGATGTGTACTATGTTTGTTGTACTGTGTGTAAACGTCTCTGTGTTTGAGACAGAAGGTAGATTCAGTTCTGAAGCTCCATGGGTAACTCCTCCAACAGACAGAGTGTCTGTCACTTCTTTATAATATCATATTGTTTCCTCTGTGGACTCAAAAATATGTTGCAGCAATCTCCTGTGAAATAAAACAGGAGTGATCAAATATAGAAGAAGCTCCACAATATTGTTATATTAATTTTTTCAGTTAAAGTTTACCTTAGAGAGAGTAACATGATAGATTTCAAATTAAGTGAACTGGAGATTCACCATGTTCTCCCTTTTTGAATTCAGGTGTTTTTAGTCCCATTGCCAAACCCAGTCTGTCACAGACATTTGTGAAAGACTGGGTTCTCCTAAAGCTCTTACTGAAATTGCACATAGTGTTGTAACAGTTTGCCACTGTTGCAAGACGTGGGTCTAGATATTCAATGACCGGCTGTAAGTTGTGTTGTTGTTGAAAAGGGGAAGCATTTAGCTGTCACAGCAACCCAGCCACAAAGTGGCAGACAATGTAAACTTATACGACGGGGTAGCAGAGTGCTGAATTACATAGTGAGTAAAAGTCTCCAACACTCTTCTGACTCAATAACTGCAGATCTCGAAGCCTTCTCTGGCGTTAACACCAGCACCAAGTCATGCACAGGGAGCCTCTTTACACAGGTTTTCATGGCAAAGCAGTTCCTTATGTGCATTTGTCCGTGTAGTGTGGGAGATAGACTGCCTTCTCCCGCTTCTTATGTTATCACCTTCCAAAAACCTCTCATCTGCATGTAAACCCACAGTATGGATCCACACTGGTATCAGTATATAGTATAGGCTGTTTATGCGGATTCAAAGGGAATTCTGCGTGCACATGACTATGTGTGATTTTGTTTTGTGTTTGCTTTTTGTGTGTGTGAGACCAGCGGTCGACTTTTACATCACCGGTATCCCAGCATGTTTGTGTGTACTTGATCAGCTATCCCAGTTAGGATCACAATAAGGAACACCATTAGTGAAAGCTGCTGATGTTAGCATTCATCAGCCAATCAATATAATTCACAATGCTAGGTTAAGCTAGTAGCAGTGGAAAATTAGACAGCTATATGTGTGTGTTTTTGTGTGAGCTTCCCACTTCTTTTGTGAAAGGGCTTTGCTTCTGTTAATTGTATTTTACACACTGAATAGTCTTTGTTCCTTTGTCTTTGTACAGGAACAGAAACATTAAGACAGGTAAACAATTAAATACCGAGGCAGACCAGGCAGAAACAAAAGCATACACGCCGAACAATTTGCGGACATGCATGGAAGCACAGGTGAATAAATGAGATTAGCTCACAGACGTACACACACGTATGCACACGCGTGCGTGCACACACACTGGCCTGGTGTAGGCAGAATATAATTTGCCTTCAGACAGAGACTGATGGTGTGTGGTGGGTGTGTGAAGCATTTCTGATACTTAAATGTATACATGAGGTGAAAAATTCTGGTGTTTTAAATTGAACTTTGAGTTAAACCACATAAAAATACATGTAGATACTCAATAAATTTCAAAATAAAGAAAATGTTTGTCATGTTTTTCCAACACCCATCTGCCTCAGGTTGTGCAGTCAATTTGAGGTGCAGGTCACACTACTTGGACATATTAAGGGTCAATGAACCAATTCCGAAAAAACATTTTAATTATTGTCTATAAAGATTAGCTTAATGAATAATTTCCACACCACTGACCGCAAGTGAACTCAATCACTCCCCTAATATATTTAGCAATGAAGTAAGGTAATCAGGAATGTGGCTTCACATTTTCCACATGGTGATTACAGCAAGATGGAAACAAAGACTTTAAAGTTAAACATTACAAGAAAACAAAGCATGCAAACATAGATTTAACCGCTCCCACTGTTAAAAGCATGCTATAATAAGCACCTTCCGGCTCCTTCAACTTCTTATTTAATGGACAGATTTGAGAGTATGCCCATCTAACTCATAGGAAGAAACAGTAACATCAGCTTCTTGCAAATTTAGCTACCCACAAACATCAAATTAGAGGTTGGGTGTTTGAGAAAGCAACAATGCTGTGCAGCTTAATGACTTGCAAGAAATAAATATCAAAGAAAGTTTCCTGCTTTGGAGGTTTAAGTGCAAAGGATTTATTCTTTGCATTCTTCATCACTTTATATAACATCAAAGTGCATTTTGACATCCTCCATCATGTGCCATGATGTGTATGCTTGAGTGCTCATACCTTATATTCCATGCTTTGGCTCTGTGTTATGGCAGACTGACAGTACAGAACGGCGTCGTGGACGGTGGTGAAGAGACAAGACTTTGTTACTTTGTCATTAAAGAAACCTGCGGTCTGAAGGTTATCCACCACACCGCCTAGACAGACACAGAGAGAGAGGCAGAGATGAAGACACAAAAAGAGATGTGCGAAGAAAGCTGGAGGAAGATGAAATGGGTAATTGAGCATGTCGGTGTAGGAAGAAAAGCAATAGAATAGAAACAAGAGATGGAGGCACAGAGTGGAGCATGGAGAGCAGAAAAAGAAACAAGGTCTTAAATGTGAAAAGGAGAGAACGGAGAAACAGGAAGGGCTGCTCTTGTATAAAATTCCTAC